TGTCATACGCCCCCCAGTTCCCCCTCCCAAAAAAAGATAAAATAATAATAATAAAAATAAAAAACCTGCATGATTCCGCACAGGCACCCCCCACACGGAACTCCGCACGGAACTCCGCACGAATGTGCAGCTCATGCGGTTGCAAGTATGGTTATAACTGCAGTATGGGCCAAGGCCCACAACTCGTTTTTGCGACTCCCGCGCAGTTACCCCTATTTGAATTTATTTTTCATACACCGGTGAGAATCTGAGATGCAATAGGGCCATGTTCTAGTGCAGAGTGCATTCTGTTTGTAGCTCATGAACGAAACAGAGAGTGAGGTAGAGGAATTAGTTGACCCCCATAGGAGAATAACCAGAGCTGTCGCTCGCGATCTTCTATTAGTCTTCCAAGCTTTATCTCTGGGACAAGAGAGACGGCGGACGAGGACTGACAACGGAAGGCAGAGAGGTGTGCCACATAGCACGAGTGGCGTACGCCAGCAGGTGCCAGGTGGCATGGCCATGCAGGCATCCGGTCCGAGTACCCAAAGCGGTACAAGTCAAGTCACTAGCGGTACAGCTGGAACCTCGGGTAGTCAAATGGCTGGTGTGCAGTCAAGACAGCCTTTTCCAGTCACTGTAGAGGAACTTGAGCTTCAAGAGGCTGAAGCCATTCGTTCAGAGAACAGACAGCAGGAGATAGAAAGACCAGATTAGAGAGAAGAGAGACAGACAAGGCAGACTTGGAGAGGGTGGATGAGAGTTCTTTGTCCCCCCACGATAACTTGGTGAGGCGGAATCCGTTGTGCCTACATGAGGCCATGATTTCAATGGAGTCCAAGTTTGACTCCATGATAGCGGTCCAGAACCAGATTCTGGCTGCACTTGGACCGCAGGGACGGGCTGTTTCTTCTACAGTCAAGCCGCCAGTATTTCGGCCCAAAGGGACTGCTAGGCCAGTGCTGCACCCGTACCCCATGAGCTTCCTTCCTCAGTTTGGTATGCCTATTCTGGCAGTACAGCAGCGAGTCAGACAGACTCAAGCACAACCTTCTCCTTGTCAGTGCTTGCAGCTACAGTGCAGGCATAGCTGCAGGCACAGGCCTCGTTGTCTGCAGGACCTGCAGCAGGAGGTCAGCCCCCGTACATCAGGAAAGTATCTATAGCACAGCCAGATACGTTTTCAGGGGACAAGAAAGAAAAACTGGATACGTGGTTGAGAACAGTCCCGGTGTACGTTAGGACGAAAGATACTGCCGCAGACAAGGAGGTGATTGTCGCTGCATCCTTTCTGAAAGGATCTGCTGCTAGATGGTTAGACGGTGTCTTCAGATGAGTTGAACGACCTAGACTAGAGGAAGTAGCGCAGTGTAAAGGAGCTTACCAAGTGGTTAGAGGAACTGATCATGGTCCCAGGGGTGCGTAATGAGCAGGAAATGCTCTTGACCACCTACCCTAGATGTTTGCCTCGTCAATGAGGTCACTACCACTAGAATCCACATCACGAACCTCAGCAAGCTAGCTCTAGACTTACAAGCTAAGCTTCATAGTGCAAGCCAGGCCCACAGATGGGAGAAAGAAGAAGCTGCCCCAGGACTGGAGGAAGAAAGGGAGCCAGAAACTGAGGAGGTTGATGATCCTTCAGACCTGGAAGTAGCACGGCGCGGCAACGAGGACAACGGGCACCGCGATGGCGACGTGGCACGACGACGACGATCGCGACGGTGACGATGATGACGTGGCACAACGACAACGATCGCGACGGTGCCAATGATGACATGGCATGACGACGACGATCGTGACGATGATGATGTCCTTGCACGACCGCGACCAACGCGACGATGATGCTGATGACGTGGCACGATGGCGATGGTCTCGATGATGATGATGATGACGTTGCGACGACGATCTCGACGATGACGAGGATGACGTGGCACGCGACGATGGCGATGATAAAGCCGGGTGGATCGGGCGGGTCGAACTGCTCCGATACCAGTGTAACGAGCGCGAGTCTGAGGGAGAAAGGGAGAGTCGAGGGAGAGGGAGAGAGAGGGAGAGGGTGAGAGCACACACACACACTCACTCACTCGACACGACTGAGGGTCGGACGCAGACAGTGGCAAAGACACAAAGTCAAAGTCTTGGATTCCCAATGTCGAAACAGGGGCAAGTCACCCTGAGTACGAGTACAGCAGCCGAGAACTGGTACGAGACTGGGTCCCCGTACCGTACGTACCGGTGACACGTACGGTACCAGGGGCATTTCTGCAAAGGCCCTGAGGGCATAACTGAAAAATGCGGTATTTGAAAGTGGCGCCCAAATTGCAGCATGCACCAGTTGTCCAAAATCCTACGGTACCAAAGGAGGGGTTTGGAAAAAGGGTGCCAGGCCGAAAACGGGATGCAGCCGAAACAGCAAAAGGATAGACCAGGGATCGAGTCCTGGCGGCGTTCGTAACACTATCCCCTCCCTATAGAAGGCAACGTCCCGGCTGCCAAAAATCATGAAGCAATGCTGAAATCTGTGAAGGACGGGACGGGGCCGAAAACTGGTTAACAAGTCGAAAGGGAAGAGGGGTATAATGTGGGTGGCATGGGCTGTGGGAGTAAGAGGGAACAGGGTTTGGTACCAGTGAACAGGGTTGTCCTACTGATGAACTAGGGGGGGTTGCAGGGAACACGGTAGTCCTACAAATGAACTAAAGGGATGGCAGGAAGCAGGGTAGTCCTACTGATGGACTAAGGGGACTGCATGGTTTGCTATAGGTCAAGGGGGAACAAAGTTCAGGGAACAGGGAACTTCTATTGATGTTCTACTGGGTAACGGAAACGGTGTTCAGGAAAACAGGGTATTTCTATTGATGTTCTAGTGGGTAAGGGAAACAATGGTCAGGGGGAACAGGGAATGCCTATTGATGTTCTAGTGGGTACGGGGAACAATGGTTAGGGAAACAGGGATCTGCTAATACAGGGTTGTCAAAAAAAAAAAATGAAAATGTTTGTTCAGGATGCAAGGGCTGGTTGTGTCCGAAGAAGCAACATCTCATGTGGGAACCAAGTGTCCGAGTGTCTTCAAAGGAGGTCTGCAGCGGTCTTGATCAGGTTTTGGAGTAGGTGGTGGAAGCGGTCTTCAGTGGCTGCAACGGGTAGAAGTCCAAGAAGCGTAGCAGTAGTCCGCATGTCCAAAGTCCAAGTGCTAGGGTGCGTCCGCTACACAAACTGCAATGAGGTCTGATCTGGAAGCAAGGAAGTCGCAGACTGATGCAAAGATCCATGTCACAAGTTGCTGCTCCAGTAAGTCCACAAGTCGTTGGCCGATGAAACAGCATGGTGGTCAAACCAGCTGCATAATCTCCATGAACAGTGAGGCAGCAGGCCATCGTCCTCGTGCACTTGCCATTAGATCCTTTATTGCCGGCGTCATGCAGGTTCACAAGCATTGGAGGTAGTGGAGAGGACAGATGGGACAAGGCTAGGCGAGGGCAAGGGCAGATCAGACATCAGGAATCAGGGTCGAGGGGAGGGTGGACTGGGTTCAAGGGTGTGTGTAAAGGTTGTAGCAGGGTTTATACAGGGGTTTAGGGTTGAGAGAAGAAGGGCAGGTGCCAGTGGGATGCTCGACCGACGGGATAGCAGACGTCGTCGGGAGGGCGGCAGGCGGAGTAGACTGTGCCACCCGGGCATCGTCCGATGGGATGTGCATCACCGGAGGGGGGGTAGGCAGACGGATAGTCAATGCCAAGTGAGCCACCGGTGGAGGAGAGATCGTCACTGATGGGAGAGCCAACAGACAAGTGGTCGATGCCTGGGGAGGATTGCAAGATATAGGGGGACAGTGTTCAGGTGGGGGAGGGCCCGGCTGTCGCGGTGGAGGAAGAAGTGAGAGTAGAAGGGCCAGGTCCCGTGGAGTGAGGGCCCGGTCGAGTAAAGCGGCTGGCGTTGGGGGCAGTTGGTTTGTTGATGACCTAACTGGTGGCAGCGAAAACACCCATTGTGTTCCTGGAGGTATATGCGTTTTGCGGGTGTGATTTTTTGGAGACGACGGGGCGGAGAGGCAGGAGGCGGTCGGGAGGCACGATCCTGGCGTTCCGTCCGCATAAGGTGGGCGGTCTGGAGGTCCTCAATGGTGAATTGGGAGGGGTCGAGAAAGGCAGTGTCGAAGTCGTCATTGGAGGTGGGTGGAGTGGTGTCGTCATGGAAAAAGTCGGGGCGGGAGGGAGCGGGCGTGGACTGGTGATGGGGGTGGAGTCGTCGATCGTGGTGAAGCATGCGAGAGAGGAGGTCAGCAAGGGGCATGTCGGTTCGTGGGCGAGGGCGGTTGCAAGGTCTTTGTGGCATACTCGCTTGATGCGGGAGATGAACGCAAAGTCGGGAATGACGGTGGTGGGGAGGTGATGGCAGAGGGAGCGGATGTATAGGACGAAGCGGTCCATGGGACCGATCTAGCGGAGGTGGCAGAATTGTTCAAGGTAGTCGTCAATGGTTTTCTGGGGGCGGAAGGTGGCAGTGAGAAGGTTGGCCCATTGGAGGAAGGAGTGACGTGGTCCTCTGGAGGCTTGGCGGTTGCTGACTTCAGCCATCCACCATTTGGCGGCATTGTCGAGGAGGCGGGAGGTGGCAATGGGGAGCCACTGGGCAAGGGGCATGTGGTGGAGGTGAAAAGAGTTCTGGAGCTCGGTTAGGAAGAGGAAAACGTCCCCGTGGGGGAGGCCGGAGAAGGACATGATGTCGACGGATCGGAAGGAACGGGGGATTTCCCCATCACGAGGAACGATCCAGGCGAGGGTATTGAAGCTGAGGTTATCGGGGGTGGTGTCGCAGCAGGTGCAATCGAGTTGGTTGTTGTCCTCAAGGAGGTAGTTGGGTGGGAGTTGTGGCATTGCGGGGTAAACCCCGGAGGTGACTTGGGAATAGGTGGGATGGATGGTGGGGATGGTGGAGGTCGTCATGATGGGTTGGGGAATGGTATGATGGTGCGGGGGGGGAAGAGGGGTGACGTGGATAGGCGCGGAATGAGGCGGTGTGTTGGACGCGCCGGATGAAGGAAGAGGTGGGGGGAGCGAAACGGTGGTGGATGATGAGAGGGGGGGAAGGGTTGAGGAGATATTGTGGTAGAGGTGGTAGGAGTGGAGGAGGTCGACGGGGGGTATTGCTGGAGGCGGCTGTGGAGGAGGGTGTGGTCTGCGCTGTGGAGGAGGGAGGTGCGGCCGTGGTGACGACCGTGATGGAGGGGTTGTTCCCTTCGAGCGTGGTGACGCGGTCGGATATGGACGACATGGTGGCCTTTATGTCATTGAGAGAGGTGGTGACGGAGGTTTGGAGGGTGTTGAGAGTGTGGAGGATGGCGGAGAGGTCGGGGGTGGCGGTGCTTGCTGGTGGTTGTTCGCCTACGAGGTTGCGGGCGATGCTATCGACCCAGCCGATGTGGATGTCAGACATGTTGATGGAGGATGCGGCCATGTCGGGGGAAGAGGGGGTGGAGGACGCGACCGGAACGGATGTGGAGGATGCAGCGGCAGTGGTGGCGGCGGCTGCGGCGCATTGGGAGTTCTTGGTTTGGCATGGTGGCATGTGGAGGTGGGGGGGGCAATCCCTTATTTATTTATTAATAAATTCAAAGATAAAGATAATTGCCAAGATTTTTGGGAAAGTAGGGAATTAATATTGAATAAATATATTTATTCCGATTGGAATTTTATTTATTCGAAATTAATTTGGGTAGCACAAAATTTTAAAGGATCCGAAGGAGAGATTTGCAAAATCCGTTGTTCAAAATATTGGAAGAAAATAAATTTGGATTTATTTCAAAATTTATTTACATGAAATTTCAAAATATCTTCGAATTATAGAAAAAGAATTAGGAGGGGGGATTTTAATTTTTTTTCGTTGAAAATTTTGGAAAAATAATAATTAATTCCGAAGGAAGGGATTAATTCCGAACGTGAATTTAAAGAAATGTCGGCAAAGAAAAGAAATTTCGAGATGATTTCGTAACAATAAGTAATTGATTTAAAAGTTCAAAATATGAATTCAAAATTTCGGGAAAGGGCTAATTATGAGTTGCAAAAGGATTCCAAGGAATTTGGAAAGAAATTAAGGGTATTCCAAAAAGAGATGAATTAATTCTAGAGTATTCAGGAAATTCGAAAAAGAAAAAGAAATTTCGAAGAAAAAGAATCAATTAAAGTCGAAATATTTCAAAGAAATTCAGAAGTAATGAGTTCAAAACTATTTTCAAATTCAAAATTTTGAGAAAGAACTAATTAATTAATGCAAAAGAGAATTTCAGAAGGAAAATTTCAAACGAAAAAGATTTTCAAAGAAATTTGTGAAAAGGGGTGATTAATTCTAAAGTATTTCGAAAAGATTTTGTGGAACTAGTGCATTAATTGGGACGTATTTTCGAGAATAGTACAAAAGTAATTTGAAAAAGAAATAATATCGAGGACAAAAAGTAATTTCGATCGTGAAATTTCAAAAAAAGGGAAGCTTCAAATTGTAAAGAATTTTCGGGAAGGAAGTATTTGGAGAAATTTGAAAAATTAACTACTTATTTTCAACGTATTTCAAAAAGAAAGATCGAAAAGGGACTA